ACGAATAAAACCAAATAAAGATAAACAAATCCTCACGAGACGAACGATCGAACCATATGTACCCATTTGAAGAGAACAGTCATTCACATAACAAGGAAAATTCAAAACGCGCAAAGTAAAGCAAGAATATCAATAAAACAAACGTCCATTCAAAGGAAAGTAAAAAGCCAAAAGATAGTTCAACCATGCAACACCCCGGGGAATAAACCATCCCAAAAATAAAGTTATCCAAAATAAATATTGTTGGAAACACACCCAAGCAAAAAATGCTATAAGCAGGAAAACATGCGATGGGAGGTCAAGCGGCGACATTATGATCGGTCCCAGTGTCCTCTTCGTTCTCGCCCGTTCACTCGGGCTGAACATCGGCATTCACGAACGGACTTGCCTCGGTTGTTTCAGCTACAAACTTCGAAGGATCAGTCGGCTCACGCATGCTATCATACGTCTTCTCATCCTCGTCGGCCAACATCACCTCGGTCTTAACGTCCTCAGGGAGACCAAACCGCTCGAACTTAATGTCCCGAATCGCTTCCAGTTCGATCAGATTCTTGCCACCACCCTTCATGAGGTTGATGACCCAATTCAAGCTGAGGGCGGCGGCCCAGTATCGATCAGTCTTGCTGTAATCGTCCAGACCAGCCTGATGACCTTTTTCGTAACCATCCTCATAAGATCCGCGGTCCTTGGACACCTCCAGCAGTTCAGTCTCCAACCTCGCCCGTTCAAGTACAGCCGCAGTCAACTTTTGCTCAGCCACGGACAGCTTATGCTCGGCCACGTTTAGACGGTCGGTCGCATCCTTAATCTGGGACAACAACTGAGTCCCCTCCAGACGAACCACCAACAGCTCACCCTCGAGCTCAGTAATCTTGGTCTTCAACACGTCCGTTCTCTTCACATCATCCTGCAAAGCGTAAATCTTCTCTTGACAAATGGAGTGATCGGCCACTTGCTTCGCCAAGTCGCTACTCATTTTCCGGAACTCCACCATCGCCGCTGATTGCATGCAATGCGCGTCCTAAGTTCCCGACCGCATATTCTATCTTCTCTATCGGGGACAGACTCTGAGCCGCTTGTTCAATCGGAAGATCCTAACTCATCAGCAGAACCAGGGACGAGTCGGTGACATGGGGCACACGCATGTTGCCAACGGATTTGTAACGAACGAACCAATCGTCGACCACCCCCTTAAGGCGCGCAAAACGGCTGGCCCGTACCGGGTCGATCCGGAGATAAGTATCCGAACAATCTTGATGGATATGGGCATCTTTCTCCCCAAAGAATCTACGTTTCTCCGTTTGGTCACCCGTACCGACCATAGATTCCTGCTTCTGAGCACCCACCGTGGCCACCCGCTTGGCACTCGACCCGTCACCACCCTCACTTGCACGTTTAAGACTCGGGAGACGGGTGTCCACCAGCTGAGTCTCCTCCTCCTCCTCCGCAGACGAGTCAATGACCTCCACATCAAGTTTTGAAGCCGAGCCCTTCGTCGCCGACTTCTGCGCGGCCTTCCATTTCTCCAGCATAGCCAAACGGTCCATCTCACCACCCGACTCTTGTTTTTTCTTCTTTTTTGAGGCGCTTGCAATCACTTTGTATCCCTTTGATTTCGCCGCCACTCTCTTGGCCTCCACGTCTGAAAACGATAATCGGAAAAAAAAGGGAACTCACAAATTTTTGACACAACTTTGGTAGGAACGGTAAAAAATTCGTTCGCTCCGATGTCTCCTGGGGACCTTGGTGTCTGCCATTTACGACCGACCTAAAACCAGGAATATTTAAACTTGCTGAGGGTCTCGGGAGCTTTTGTGATTAAATCTTTGAACCGAGCGTCTCGTACAGCCACCGAAAATTGCCCAAAACGGTTGCGGGACTCCTTGATGAGAAAGAGTGACCGGATGTCATCGCAATTTGGCATTTCTCATCCCTCTTGACTGAACAGTACCAACAGGCTAATGATCTTGAGCCACGCAATTGGGGATACCTGGCTGAATCCGACCCACCAATCTCGGAGGTATTCGGACAATATGCGGGGCAGGAGAAACCGTACGCCAAAAGCCACCGATCTCTCAAAAACACTAACATACCTTAGAGGCGGACAATGGATTCGCTTCCCTCGATACGGGGCGAACGAGCTGATATCCTTGGGAATCCGAATAGAAGTGCGAAGCTTCACCACTTTGTCGTCGGTCATGTCGCTCGAGAGCTGCCCTAGACCGAATAGTGTCGCCAGTATCCATTCGGAACTTCCACCATGGCTTGCTCAATCAGCAAGTCCTGATCCGATCCTTCTTTAGGCAAAGGAAGCCTCATCCGACCAGCCGTATCACCTTGCAAAGCTTCCTCATACTGTTCTTCATTATAACTCTCGGAGGAAGTCGACATGTTCGCTAAATAAAAAAGAGAAAGAAAAGTAGTAGTGCGAAAAGGAGAAAAGAAAAAACCTTACCGAACAAACAATTTTATTGCAGGAACGAATGGAAGCTTTGTTCGTACTTGAGAATACAGAGAAAGGCAGAGGAAATGTGTGAATAGAAATAAGAAAAATTCTTGAAAATGAAGTAGGTATCGAAATAAATATTGAAGAGACACAATGATTCGAAATTCAAACGGCGCAGAAAATTTGAAACGTCTCATACACGCCATTAATCCTGCGTATCCAATGAGAATGTGACACGCGACATTACGTAGTTATTGTCGGCTAAAGTTTACTGAAGGGACACGCCTTTTCATAAAGCGACTCCCAATTTAACTTTTGTCGATTCGCCTATCTCAAGTCAGTCGGGGAGCAGCCTCGGGTAACACGATCCAACAAGGTCCCATTCGTGAGACCCGAACCTGGGGGCCTTTGTACGCGGTACAAAGCGAACGAATGAAAAAATTATATTTAATACGCGTTCGTCCGATCTTCTAACAAGAGCAAGACAGAACGAACCGGATCGGGATAATGACTGAGTGAGAACTAGTTAGCATGTCCGACTAACGCTAATCATTACCAGGATTTGTCCGTACGATACACATTTAATGCTGCAGGATCCGGTGATCGTCCATCTAAGGGTTCTTAACAAGCAGCAACACGTGTCACGACCTCGGCGAAGTTGCTTTATTGAGATGGTGTTTCATAGTACAATAGCATTTAATGTGGTGTGACTAAATATCAATTAATATCTTGTAAAGGGAAAAGGAAAAAGGTAATTTGAAGTTGAGATGTAATAAGTCCTCACACTTCCTATATAAGGAGCAAGAGGCAACATCAAATGCAATAAGTAAATGCTCTCATTAAATTCCTATTCGTGCAGACCGAACCGAGTATACATTTCAGTATACAATCCGAACACATTGTTGGTCATTTTTAGACATCAACACAAGCCTTGGCCATGACTAAATGAGTGTGGCCAATGGTCCGAGCTAATTCCAACTCGTTGACCACGGGTCGGTTCCAAACCATGACCATGACTAAGTGAGTTTGGTCACAAAAAATTGGAATTACCATTTCGATGCACTTTATGAATAATTCTAAGTGTTTAAGCCATTATAGTAATGTTTTAAATTGTGGGGAAAATGAGTTTTTTATTTTTCCGAACGACAGAATTCATTCACTAAACACGTAATTAGAACCGGCTCATTAGCCGGAATAGGAGGACTGCCCAAGGTAGCCTAGATACCACAACACACACTATAAAACGAACAAAAAAAATAAAAACTTCCCACAGAAGAATACACACACTCCTTACAGGAGAATAACACAAACTCCCCAGAGGAGAAAACATGCTCCTCCAGAAAAGGAGATAACAAAATACTAGCTACAAAACAATACACCAACAAACACCACAAAAACACAAAGCACACAAATGCACACTACGACACAACACAAAACAAAAGAAACGGAACACAAATAACCAAACTAAACCCTTCCCCTAGCAGCTAAGCCCACACGAACAACATCGATGCCAGCCCGCACGAGCAACCACTCACAAGGACAGAGACTCGATCGAAACCTCAAAACTAAAAACTGCAGATAAGTCGCCTAACTAGAACCGAGATAAAAGACCTTGCCTCCCGCCCGGGAAGTCAACCCGATACTGGAGATCCAAAAAAAACTCCACCTCCCAAATCCTGATGACCTGGGCAGAAAGCACTGGCCCAACCCCGACCATGCTCAGTCGACGCAATTGGAAGGCCTCAAAAGCAGAAAGGGACGGGAAGAGAGAGGAGAGTGGAACCGACTCGATCTCAGCCCCAACCGCCAACAAGGGGACGATTGAAGCCACAACCCTCTCTCACACACACGCCGGACGACCGCCACCGCCTAGATGCCGGGGAAACGTCGGACCATGAACCACCTTGGCAACCGATAGAGAGGCGAATCCTAGAGGGGGCTGAGAGGAGGCTGCCGTCGAGATGGCCCGGAGGCCTGCTGGGGGAAGGCGCACGATTCTACGGCTANCTCGTTTTTTTTTTTTTTAAGGGGAAAGGGGAAAATGATTTATGTTTAAATGAACGCAAAGTAATGACCTAGGAGCGAACTACATAGGCTACATGGGAAATATTTAAATGGGGGTGTTTTTAGCCACAACAAGCTAGACAGGGGTAGCTTCTGTAATTAACTTATATTCCATTTGAAGTTGTCAAGCTCGAGCATGCGCAGAGGAAAGCGACAAGGTGTCTATCAAAAGTTACGTTCATATTGATCACAGTCCCTACCATAAATTTGGATCCCAAAATGAATTCAGCAATGCCCTACATTGCTTTTAGCCCCAGACCCATCATATCATTCAGTCCTTGCCGTTGGATTAATTGATCCAAAATTGGGCAGGAGCAGCTGTACAATAAAATGAATAGCCCACATTTTTGAAACAGACCCGTCCCTATGTAATTTTTTTTTTAATTTTTTTTTCAAATAGTGACATATATTTTGCACAACTCATAATGCACCTTGGCGCCAATAAATAAAAATTAAATAAAAAACAATAAAAAAAGAGACAAATATATGAAACAAAAAAATAAAAATAAAAAATTGCACAAGTAGCAGTAGAAGCAATACAGTGTTCATGAGGTAGAACAGAGTAACATATCTACGATCCAAAGCTTTGCAAAAGCAAAACAACACCAACAAGAAACAAATACCGAGCCGCGCGATTCATCTTCGCATTGGACTTCCTCAGCGGCTTGAAAATAACCGGGCCGGTTTTGTTATTCCCACAAACATCGACACCTATATTGATAACATTATTCACTCGAGTCCCGTTCAAACACAGTCCCGGATTCCCACTCAGATCCAAATTCCTCCCGAGCCTCTTCACAAAACCCGAGTCGAACGGCACCACGCCTCGGAGAGAATTTCCGCTCAGATTCAAGTGGTAAATCCGCGACATCCCGGCGAAGCCCGGCGGTATCGGCCCCCACAGCCGGTTGTTCTGCAACGAGAGGGAGGTTAGGTTCGCGAGGCCCGAATACGAATTAGGTATCGGGCCGGAGTACCCGGAGCCCGAGAGGCTGAGCTCCTGCAGCTTCGCGAGCCGCGACAGCTCCTCCGGTAGACTCACAAACATAGGGTTATCGTCCATCAGGAAATACTGCAGGTTGAGGAGCTTTCCAACCCCGGACGGGAACCCTCCCCGCAACCTATTCCCGCTTAGGGCCAAGAAATTCAACGAGCGAAGGCCCCCAATCGTGGGCGGGATTCCCCCTGTCAGCAGATTGGAGCTGAGGTCGACCTTTTGTAGGGCCCCGAGACGGCCAATCGAGACTGGGATAGGGCCCGTGAGGCGGTTGTAGCTGAGATCGAGGCCGACGAGGCTGCGGAGGCCACCCACAGCTGCAGGGATGGGGCCTGCAAGTAGGCTTGTAAACCAAATGACTTTTTTTTTTATTCGATTGGATATTCGATATTCGAATTCGATATTCGTGATTCGAATTCGAATTCGGATATGAATAATGTTTTACATTCAAAAATTAAACGAATTCGAATTCGAATTTGTAGATATTCTATTCGAATATATAAATTTTATAAATTATATATATATATATTGTTATATCTCTAATATATTGATGACATAAAAATGTAAAAACATCTCATATTAACAATTTGCCCTAAAAAGATCTCAGATTGGATAGGAAGAACATAAATAATATTTTTGTAATTATAATCTCTTCTTTTTTTATTATAATGTTTTTCGGAAAACGAATTTCGAATCGAATCAAATCGAATATGTTCGAAATATTCTAAACGAATCGAATACGAATAAAAAAAATGAGTTCGTTTACGAATCGAATACGAATTCTAATCCTCGAATATTTTAACAAATTAGAATTCAAATATCTTAATATCCGCTTAGCTTTAGATTCGATTCGTTTACAACCCTACCTGCAAGCTGGTTGTAGCTGAGGTCGACGTGGAGGAGGGAGGGCAGGGCCAAGAGCCCGAGCGGGATCGGGCCGGAAAGCCCGTTTTGGGACAGAGTGAGGATTCGGAGAGAGGCTATGGAGGAGAGAGTGGGAGGAATAGGGCCGACTAGCGATGGGTTGGAGCGAAGGCTGAGCTGCTGTAGGAGAGATGAGGGGTGGGGTGGGAGTGAGATTCGGGCCGGGCTTTGGGTGAAGCATTTGAAGATGAAGAGGGACTCGAGGTGTGGGAGAAGGAAGAGCTCTGGGGGGAAGGAGGCTGATTTCCTGCATGTTGGGTTTGGAGGGATGCCGACGTCGAGTCTGGTGACGTGTTGGGTGGTTTTGCAGTCGAGGCCGGGCCAGGAGGAGCCAGGCTGGCAGGGGTTCGGGTGGGAGACTCGCCAGTTGGCGTCGGAGGAGAGAGTGTCCATGATCTTGAATAGTGTTTCCAGCTCGAGTGGGTCCATGCTCTTGTTTTGTGCGTGTTGATAGGTGGAGCCTGGAAAAAGAATTAGCAGTGCTACTAATTCTATTGCTATTGTAAATGAGGAGAATGAACAGCACCACATTCTGCTTTCCTTT